CACATGACCTAGCAATTCTACTTCTAGGTATAAACCCTAAATAATTGAAAACAGGTACTCAGACAAGCATATGTGCATCATTGCTGATAGCAGCACTATTCACGATAGCTAAAATGTGGAAACAGCCCCAACATTTATCAACAGAAGAATGGATAAACAAATTGTGATATACACATACAAAATAAAATACTATATAGTCAAAAAGGGAAGTACTGTAATAGGAATGAACCTCAAAAACATTATGCTACGTAAAAGACACCAGACATAGAGGACACTATAGTTAGGATATTTGTGTTTCCAAACCTCATGCTAAAATTGACCCCCAATGTTGGAGATGGGGCTTAATGGGAGACATCTGGGTTATGAGGGTAGATCCCTCATAAATAGATTAATGCCATCCCTGGAGATGAGGGTGAGTGAGTTCACACTCATTAGTTCCCTTAAGAGCTAGTTAAGAAGTGGTTGGCATCTCCCCACTCTCCTCTTTCCTCTTCTCTCTCCATGTGATCTCTGCACACACTGGTTCCCCCTCAACTTCTGTTATAAATGGAAGCAGCCTGAGGCCCTAGCCAAATGCAGTTGCTAAAAATCATGCTTCTTAGCCACAAAACCATGCGACAAATTGCTTTTCTTCAAAAATTACTTGACCTCAGGTATTCCTTTCTAGCAACACTAAAAGAATAAGACAAAAGGTTACATGTGTATTATATGATTCCATTTGTATAATATACCCATAATTTTGTAAATATGTAGAGACCGAGAGCAGATTAGTGGTTGCCAGGAGCTGCAGAGGGAGAAGGTAGGGTTGGGAGGAATAGGGAGTAATTGCTCAATGGATAGAAGGTTATATTCTGGGTTGATGAAAATGTTTTAGAACTAGATAGAGGTGGTGGTTGCATGACCTTTTGAAAGTACTAAGTGGCACCGAGTAGTACACTTCATAATGTTTAATTATATGTTATGTGAATTTTTACCTCAATTAAAAAAATGAAAAGATAATAATTTTAAAAATAAGTAAAGGTGCATAGTTTACAACAAAAGTAATACTATCTTTCTTGGCAGATGACATTATGGGATGTATAAAAATTTCTGAGGACTCTAAAACAAAAGCAATAGAAGAAATAAGTGAATTTAACAAGTTATAGACTATAAGGGCAATATACAAATAATTATATTTTATATGTGTGCAATAAATAATTTGAAAGTGAAATAAATTATAAATTATGTTACATCAGTATAAAATATGAAAAAGAGATAAATTTAATAAATTATGTTCAAGAGTGTGCCTTGAAAACTATAAAATATTGTTGAAAGAAATATAAAAATAAACAAAACAAATGCATACACTGGGGAAAAGAATCCTTATTTAATACATGGTGCTGGGAGAAATGGTTAGCCACCTGTAAAAGACTGAAACTAAACCTGTATCTCTCACCACTTGTAAAACTTGACTCAAGATAGACAAAATATTTAAATCTAAGACACAAATGATAAAAATTCTAGAAGAGAGTGTGGGAAAAATTCTTGACAATATATGCCTGGAGAAAGATTTTCTGAAGAAGTCCCCATTAGCAATTACAGCAACAACCAAAATAAATAAATGGGACTTAAGCTAAAAAGCTTTGGCACAGCTGAAGACACAACAAATAAAGCAAATAGATAGCCTTCAGAATGGGAGAAGATATTCCACATGTGACAAATCTGACAAAGGGCTAATACCCAGAAACTACCAAGAACTCAAACTAATCAGCTAGAAAAGAGCAAACAATCCTGTTTATCACTGGGAAGAGACATGTACAAAACCCTCTCTCATGACAGACAAATGTCCAAAAAACACCTGAAACAAAGCTCATCAAAGCTCATCAAAGCTCCCATCAAAAAAACACATGAGACAAAGCTCTGATCATCAGAGAAATGCAAATCAAAACCACCTTGACCTATCACCTAACCCCACTGAGAACAGCCCGCATCACAAAGTTCCAAAGCTGCAGATGCTGGCACAGAGGTGGAGCGAATGGATCACTTTTATACTGTTGGTGGCACTGCAAACTAATACAGCCTTTTTGGAAAGAAGTGTGAGGAATCCGCAAAGAGCTAAAAGTAGGTTTGATCCCATAATCCCATTACTAGGTATCTATTGAAAGAAAAAAAAATTTACTGCAAGGACATTTGCCAATTGCACTAGCATGTTTATTTCAGTGCAATTCATTTTCACCAAGATGTCGAAACTACCCAAGTGCCCAACAACTCATGAATGGATAAGGACATTATCGTCGATCTATACCATGGAATATCATTCAGCCATAAAAAGACTTTACATCTTTTGTATTTACCTGAATAGGTTTGGAGAACATCCTCCTAAAGTATCACAAGAATAGAAAAGCGAGCATTCAATGTACTCAATACTAATATGAAAACTGTAGAGGAACAACTACACACGCACACAAGAGAAAAACACAACCAGATTGAAGTAGAGGAGAGGGAGGAGGAGAAACAAGGGAGAAGGGAGGTGGAGGGGGGTTGGTGTGCTATCAGCCACAATCTAAGGTCATAAGGCAAACCTGGGCGAAGGGCTCAACTACAACTTGGACTTGACTTAACAAATGCAACCAATGTAACCTAATCGTTTGTACCCTTATAACAATCTGAAATTAATAAAAAGAAATTTTAAAAGACCTAAATAAATAGCAAGACATGCCATGTTCATGCGTCCAAAGGTTCAGTATTGTTAAGATCTCATCTGTCTCCAATTTAATCAATAGATGCAAACAATTCCAAAACATCTGTCTCCAATTTAATCGATAGACGCAAACAATTCCAGGTTTCTTTTTGTAGAAACGGGCAAGCTGATTCTAAACTTTTTAAGGAAATGCAATAAACCTAGACCACTCAAAATATTTTTTAAATAGCATATAAAAGCTTTATGTTACCCAATTTCAGACTTATGATATAGTTATAGTAATTAAGAGGTATTCAAATAAAGAACGGTTTGTTGGATCAGTAGAACAGAATATGTGGTCCAGAAATAGACCTTCACATATATAATAAATTAATTTTCAATCAAGGTAAGTAGGTAAATCAATGAAGAAAGAAAAGTCTTTTCTACAAATAGTGCTAGAATAACTGGATATCTATATGGGGAAAAAAAGTAAAGCTTGACTCTTACCTCTTAACATACATGAAAGTTAACTTAAAATGGATGATAGACCTAAACATAGATGCTAAAATTATTATCTATCTATCATTTATTTATATTCTTCACTTTCCATATACTCCATGAGTCAGACCTTACTGCTTTCACTATTTTACCAAACTCTGGTAAATCACTAATGACCTTTTAAATTTCAGTCCAGAGACTACTATTCTGTCCTTATTTACCTGAGTCCTCTACAGAATTTGATACTACTGATCACTCCCCTCCCCCGGATTCCTTGATGTGGCATTGTGATACAATGAGACATATGTGTTTGGCCTCTGCCCCCAGTTCCTGCCACAGAACTCCTAATCCCTGAGAATTTTCTGGGCAATAGGAGGCTTGCATTTTAATGAGGTGACTCTCAGTGGGCTCTTGGATTGATCTGTTCACAAGAAAGACCAAGCAGTGATTGTAAGCTTGGAACTTCAGCCCCACTTCCATTTTCCAGACGGGAGAGGGGCTAGGGATTTAGTCATGTCCACATCATGAAGCCTGCATAAAAATCCCTGACCTACAGTATTCAGAGAGCTTTCAGGTTGCTGAACATGTAGGGGTGCTACAAGGGAGATGTGCTGGAGAGGGCAGGAAGTCCCACGTTTCTTCCCACATCTGTTGCCATAGTACCTCTGCATCTATTTGTTCATTAGTATCCTTTGTCATATCATTAATAATAAACTGGCAAATGTTAGTAAGTATCTCCCTGAGTTCTCTGAGCCATCTAGGAAATTACGGAACCTGAGGAAGGGGTTGTGAGATCCCTGCTTTACATCTGAAAGATCAGAAGCACAGGCCACACCTGGGACTTGCACCTGTAACCCGAAGTGGGCCTGAGCCTTTTACCTACAGGTCTCCAGGTAGACAGTGCCAGCATTGAGTTAAATTGTAGGACACCCAACTAGATCGAGGTGTCAGAGGACTGGTCAGGAATAAGGGTGGGGAAGAAAAAATCCCACATATTTTGGCGACTAGGCGTGAAGTATTGATAATTGAGTGAGAGACGCAAACCCATTTTTCCATGTTCACTTGGCTTTCTCTATATCAGGCTCCCCTGATGCTTCTGTTATGTCTCTAGCTCGGCAGCTGGTGTCCTCTATGAAGGTCTCATTAGGCCAGCGGTTCTCAGTGCTGTGGTTTACGACCCACAAGAATGTATTAAAAGGCCACAGCATTAGGAAGGTTGAGACCCACTGTATTAGACATTGGTCTC